AGCCTCCTGTCTATATCCTGGAGAGCTCTTAGCTTTTGTTTTGCAAGAAGATAGAGAATTGCTGTCATTCTTTTGTCATGCATATTTGCTTTACTGTTTCACTTGAATGGTGGTTTCCTGTATTGTTAGACATATTTTTCCTGAGGTTGGTCATTCTTTGTTCTTTGAGGTTGTTGAGAACACAGCATTATCAGCAGAGAAGCTGGTATCTTTCGTTTATTCACACGGTCCTGTCTTGTCCTCACTTCAGTAAGGTTTTCTCCACTCCTTCTGTGATCCCTGTGTGTGTCCTGGTGCCACAATGGTGGCTTCTCCAAGGAGCCTCAGTCATGAGTCCCTGACATGAGCCTCTGTAATCCAGACCCATCAGAGTTATGTTTTCAGGGGCCATGATGTTCCCAAGGTCATTTCTAGGGGTCAGTTTCAGTAGCCTATGCAAGTGCCAAAAGCCTTGGTGGACTCTTTCTAAAAGTTTGACCCATGCAAACTGGTACAGATCTTAATGCTTTTTGATTAAGCAGTAAAATCCCATTTAATTGTATGCAGACCATTCACGTGGCTATAAAAAGTGATGTAAATTTTGGTTCCGTGAACACGTTAATCAGGGCTGTACATTTTCTGGGGGGAGACCTCATGCTACTTTCTGAAGCCCAGTTTAGTAGAAGGGGCCTCAGATGATCTGATGCCAACAGGTCAAAAGACGCGCCCATGAGACGGGATGGAAGCGCCTGGTGGCACGGGGCCAGGAGCAGGCGCTGAGAGCCGCGTGGTCCTGACTGCGCTGCCGCTCCTGCCGGCTGTGTCGGCTTCGGTGGGTACTTTGCAGCTAGAGCCTTGGTTGCAAGTTATGATGCCTGTCCAATAGGATAATGGTAAGACTTAGTTGAAATGATACTTGTAAACTCCTTCGCACATTTTCCAACACACGAGGTCCTGAGCAGTTTTTACTCTTGTTGCTGCTGCTGTTCTTTCTGCTGCCATCATTAATCGCAGGCACCAGCGCAGAAGAGAGAAACTTTTAGAAAGACTCTCACAAGTAAGAATGACTGTGTGGAATTACGTACCTACAGTTGCTAACTATGTCTCAATCTGTCTGCAAGCACCTCGCCAGGGAAGTTATTTTTCTGGTTTTAAACCGGTGAGGAAACTGAACCGCAGAGAGCTGAAATATTTTTTCCAGAGACACGGCAGCCTATGAGGAAAGGCGCCATGATTCAGCCTAGGTCTTGTGGCCTCTAACCCAACCCACTCTGCATGGCCTGTACTGCATCTTAGTGGACGTAGATACAGGAGCCTAAGTCCGCAGCTGGGGTGGAGGGGGAGGGAGGGGCGGGCCAGTGCTGCCTGTCAGGCCTGGTGGGCAATGACCTCAAACTAGGACCTCACTTTCCTGGGCCGCCACTGTCCCTGTCCATCCTGACCTGCTACTTACTTTCTCGTTAGCTTTCCTCTACCTTCAAAGGAACGACTTTTATAAATTTCCCTCGTTAGTCTCAGTGGGATAATTGGTCCAAATTATCCAATTTACTATCCCCAGAAGCAGCTTTCCTCTGGAGTCTTCATTAGCAATTTGACTTTCCAGTCTTAATTTTTGGGTGAGTTGCTACTGAGTAGTGCACAGGACTGGAGCTTCCTTGGGGTGATTGGTTCTGTGGGGCATCGCCAATGTTTGGTTTTGTTTAAAAACTGAACGTGGCTCTCCAGGATCAAATTCCATGATAATTCAGGTAATCTGCTTTGTGTTCCTCTATTTAAAGCATTGAGGTCAGAATGGGAGGCCAGGTCAAATGCAAAACATAAGCTTAAAAAGAGAGGACCAAAAAAAAGAGAGTTGGTTTGTATTGCAGCTCATCGGTGCTTGTCAAAGGTTTGCGGTGGTTGATATAGCTTCCCCTTAAGGTACCTCCCACTCTTGAGATTCTAGATTTCCACAGTTTTGTTTTGCATCTCATCAGGCAAGTATGCTACAGGTTTGATTAGTGAATTATCACATTGCATTTTTACTTAATGAAACTCTCATTTCACAGGCTCTTTTTTTTTTTGTCTTATAAACATTCCTTTTCATCATCATCTTTGAGTTTATGTAGCAATTCAGGCCCTCCAAATAATGACCCTGTATTTTCATAGCAATCTTTCTGAAATATTGGCATCATGCCTCATTATATTAGAGAAATAGTCATGCCAAATACCTAAACATGACATGGTTTTTGACTTGATTGGCAAGTTGGCAGTAGGAAAGGAAGTTCTGCAGTGCCTCTCCATTAACTAAATGCATTTCTACTGAAATTATCTAATATGCTACTGTAACCTACTTTTGGAAACAGTGCTTTGCTTTAGATGAGTAGTCTGTAAAGTGGTAGGAGCTGTTTCAATGCTGAGATGACCACAGAGCACACAAATTCCAGATAACATTCAAAGGGCCTTGCCTTCGTATACTCCCAAAGTCCTTGCCAGTGGCTCCGAATTGACTTGAAAAATCTGTCCCCTCCTATGGTGTCTGGGTTACTGCTCTGCCTTAATTTACCTCTTCCCATTGTTGTTGAAATACAAATTCAGTTTTAGGTATTTGTCTAGTTTAGATTTTGGCAATTGTATAGAGAAAAGTTTGTAGTACCTAGTGACTTACTATTCTCTAATGGCTTAGGGTAGGAAGCTGTTTTTACAGTCTTTGACATCTCTTGAAAAGATTGTCAAGAACAATCTAAAATAATTAATATGTCTCTTAATTTGCCCATGGCATCTGTAATGGGTCAATAGAATAAAATAATTCCCGATTTTGGCAAGCATTGGAAGTTCTTGAGTGGGTATATAGAGAGCTTGCCCTTGGGTCTAGAGAACTAAGTGCATAAAGGGCACATGTGTGGTGAGTGTGGAAAAGGCCTGGGCTTTAGTTGTCTGTCCGTTCGTTGCGCATCAAGAGTGTGCAGTGCAGTTGCCCAGACAGCAGAGGTGACCAGAGGCCAGGCTGGTAGAGAGAATCCCCAGTAAACGAGAAGGACAGCTGTGTCCTACACTGCCGTTCCCTCCCCAGCCTGGTATCTTTGGGTCAGTTTGGCGCTCTCTAGTTAGCTGTCTAAATTTTTAAGTGCTTAAAATTGGTGCTCAGTCAAAGGCCAGTGGTTAGGATAGGAGAAAAGTTGAAACCGTGTTTACGTAAGGAAGAGCTGGAGGAACTGGGGGTGTTTATTCTGGAAGAGAGGGTACCCAATTGCTGTCCTCACAGATACGGAGGGCTGTCATGTAGAAGAGAGGTTAGATTTATTCTGTGTGGCTCTGGAGGGCCGAATGAGGGCCAATGGGGCAGGTTTTGGCTCAATATAGGAATAGCTTTCCACTGGTTACACATGTCCCTGAAAGTAATTAACTGCCTCCAGAATAGTAATTTTGGATCGGGAAAACGGCCACGCCTAGGCAGATGGCTGCTATTGTAGAAGAAATCCTGGTAAAAACCCCCTCGAGTGGACGAAAAGGTCCTCAGAGACTCCCATGTATGCGATCCCCGTTCTCTATCTCACCACCTCGCTGTCCAGCAGAGGCATGTCTTGAGCACCCTCTGTTTACTCAGCACAGGGCCGGGATGCGGAGAACGCAAGCACTGTCACGGGGAAGCAGCCGCGTGGGCGGTGACCGCAGCCCGGCCGCGGGGGGTGGGGGGCGTCGCGTGGCGCGCCGGAACTGGCTGTGCGGGTCCCAGGGCCCCGAAGAGGGCCCGCAGACATCATCCGTGGAGGGCAGGGCCTGAGCTGAGCTGTACGGGGGGCCGGCCAGGTCCGGGGTGGAGGCAGGGCGTTGCAGGGGGAGCTGGGGAGAGCCCCGGGTGAGAGTGTGGGTGCCGGTGGACAGGAAGAGGAGGCAGTGGAGCAGGAGCTGGGGCAAAAGGTGCTTTATACATAAGTGGAGCCTTGGAGTTAGGAGCCGCCTCATCCGATTTGCCTGTGGGAAAGGGGGCTCAGCTGACAAGGGTGAGGAAGATGTGGCACAGCAGTAAGGTCTCCTAAAGCGCCTTCTTCCTGAGCCTCAGATTTCTCACCTCTGGGAGAAGGGGCTGGGGCCCCTCTGCCTTATCCTATGAGAATAAATTCATGCTCTGTCTCTCTTTATACGTTCACTTTGATTGTCAGACCCATGGTGCTCGAGGCCTGACAAGGCACAAATGGAGCCACACTGGCCACAAGAGCCAGATGGCACTCCTACTGCCCTGTTGTGCTGCATGGGACCTTCAGGTCCCCGGGGGCCCCCAAGAGATGCCCAGGGGGAGCACACGCGCCGGCCCCTCCTGCACCTCGCCGCGTTGTGACCAGAGGATGGCGCCGCCTCAGGCCAGTGCCGCTGGTGCCCACGCCTCCAGGCAGGCCGCGCCACCGCCCGGCGTCACATTCCCAGGCCTGCAGCCTCCACGGCGCGGTTCTCCAAGGCCTTCCCTGCAGCACAGCTGCCTGGCCCCAGCAAAAGGGGGAACGCCCTCTCCTTATGCCACTTTCTGTCACCCGGACAGAAGGTGGGACTGGATAGGCTTGTGCCTCACAAAAGCCTTCTGGTTTCTGCCTGCAAGCCCAAGAGCTGAGAGAGAGGCCAGGGTTTTCCCCCAGGGTATCCCGAGGTCCCCCTGTCCCGACTCGTCCCTGACCCTTCGGCAGGACAGTAAGGCACAGGGAACGGGAACCCTGCAGCATCACCTGAAGACCTTCAGACACACCTGCCCTGGAGATGACGGCTACTGTCGCGATTAATCACGCCTGGCATAGGGTTAAGGCTTCCCATATGCCCGCTTGTTTGGTCACCCGCGCTCTTGGAGGTGCAGGCTGTTTGTGTTTTCATTTGCAGATGAGGATCGGGCTAGGAGGCGTAAAGTGACTTGCTCAAGGTCAAACAGCTTGCAGGGCTAGAATTCAAAACCAGACTTGTCTGGGATAATCTTAGAACCTAGTTAACAGCCAAGTACGTACTTTGTTCATTTATCATCACCTTTGCGTATATTTAAAATGGGCTTTTGCTTCCAGGGCTGGGAAGAGACAGTGGATGCCGCTGTCTCCCACCTCCTGAGGACCTGCCTGTCAAAGAGTTCAAAGGAGCAGGCTTTGAACCTCAGCAGCCATTTGACCAAACCCAACGACACGAGCCGACTGAAGAAGCACATCACCTTGCTTTGCGACAGATTGGCCAAAGGCGGGCGTCTCTGCCTGAGCACGGATGCGGCCACGCCGCCGACCATGGTCATGCCAGGTAAGCGCTCTGTCCGTGCCGCCAAGCACCTCTGTGCTTTCCCGAATTAGAGGAATGTATCTGGGGTTGTACTTGCGATATTAAAGTGATGAGAGCCCAGAAAATTGCTTTCACGTTTCCCCTCAGATATCCCAGGGTAACCACTTGGATAAATATTCTTGGGGTATTTGCTTGCTCGACATTTCTAGAATGGCATGCCTTTTTTTCTTCTCCCTGCTTTTAAATGTGTGATCCCTTTTGTTTTGCTTCTCACCAATAAAAAGTGGATTGGTGAATAAAACTGAATGGGATCTCTCGCGATACCATATTTCTTAGCTAAAAATAGCCTCGTGCAAGCACTAATGTTATCCAGATGAGCCCCGTCCCTCCTGCTGCTTGCTTGGCTGTGGCCATCAGAATATGGAGAAGAGACAGAGAAGAGGCCCAGGGAAGGGGCGACGAGGCGCTCATGGGCCAGGGCGAGGGGGTCAGCCCTCCCCTGCGTGGCCGTCAGGCGTGGCCATGTGCGTCTGCGTCGGCCCTTCCTGCCCCCAGTCAGAGGGTCCCTTAGCGGCAGCAGCCCACCCTCTCTTCTGAGTGTCTCTCTTCACGGCAGCAGGAAGGAGCATAAAATAAATGAAGTGCGTGCAGCAGCCGTAGCATCTGTTTCAAGGACCGGAGTATGAGAAGTGTCTCTCTTCTCCCTCTTTACACGCCTTTGAGGCCCTCACCCACCTGTGCCGACACTCTTTCTGTGGCTGCCTTCCCCCTCAATTGGCACTTCTAGGAGTAAAAGGAATGCAAGTAGAAACTCAAAAAGATAAACACGGAGACCGTGTACCCTAATCTAATGGGTGCTGACTCTGGAGGCAGATAGAACCGTCTTTGGGTCCTGCCGCTACGCCCAGCTACTTATATGGCCCTGAGTGTGTTAATTAACTTTCCAGAATGTTAGTTTCTTCTTGTTGGAAGTGGATATAATACCGCCTTCCCCGCCCCGCCCCCCGCCCCGGCCCCGGTTGCCAGGGCCTCAGCTGTTTGTAAAGCACCTAGTATAATGCTTGGAACAGAGGCTCGGAAAATTAAAGCTCTAATTATTACCATTGTTACAGATACATGCATGCTTCGGTCTCTGTGTTTGGTGTTGGGGCATGGGAAAAATTGGTTTGGGGTGATTGGGTTCCACATTCTATGGCTTTTAATATTAAGTATCCCTAAGTTGGCATTTCAGAATAGAAATGCCTTCCTACATAGAAACAGCTGGACTAGTTTGACAAAACTTTGGTCCTTTTCGTGTTGCCCTTGTTAACATCCTCCAAACTGGTCCTTCGGCCTCTACATGTCCACCTTCTGTCCACTGTTGCAAGACTGTTTTCCTAAGAAATAAATACTTAGGCTTAATGAGATCATAAATGAAAAATATTGAGTATAGTCAGCGCTCAGGATGTGGCTCTCCCGCCTTCCTTGCCAATTGGGAAAGCAAAGGGGGCCTGAGGCAGGAGACATACAGAGAGGAGAAGACTTGAAAAGAGGCGGGATTGGCCCTGTGCTTGGCTGGTCCACCTGCCTTCCCTTCCCCGTGTTCCGTGGCAGCGTCTTTGGGGAGAGCCACGAGGAGCCCAGTGGCAGCGCTGTGTGCAAAGACCGGGGCGCCCGGAGAGAGTGGATGCTCCCTTAGTCACATTTATTGCTTGTGGGACTTCAGCCATTTGTTTGCATAACCAGATTTGGAAGCAATGTGAGGGTTGTATCTATATAAGCCCTCAACGCAGACTTTTAACTGTGTGGAAAAAGGAAAGGAGGATGAGAAGGAAGGAAGGGAGATATGAAGGAAGATAGAAAATATGGGTTCACAAACCAGCAGTCTGTAAACCAGGTCCGTGCCTGTCATGCCTAGTCCGGCCAAGTTCATGCCATGGGGAGCCTGGGGCTGTGCACATTTGTGCCTCGCGGTCATGGTCACGCTCACCACCTGCGCTTGCCCAGGACCCCCCTGTGACCCTGGCCGAGTGCCTCTCTCACTCGCCCTGACCAGTCATGATAGTGAGTGTGTGACCTGCTCCCTCAGCGCTTTTTGCCATTGACATGCTCCTTTATTGCCCTTTAAGCCTTTCCTCCCTGACACTCAAATTTTTCACACACATTTCTGTACTTTGCACATTTTTGAGGTCAAAGAACCATGTAGAATTTTTGCTGTTTTACAAATAGAAAATGGAATTAAGAAAAGCCAAGTACCTTTCCCAGCATTCTGCGGTTACGGGAAGGGTGAGGCCTAGAATCCAAGCCTCCTCGCCTGCTGGGCTTCCCCCTCGACCACACGAACCGCAGCGGCACGGCGCCCTTCAAGGCTGCATCTCCTCCGCGGAAGCTCTCCCTGACCTGGCCTTCCTCCCTTCCATTGGCCCAGCGGTGTGGGAGGAAAAGGGCAGGCATAGTTTCACGCAGTCTCTTTTCTTTGCTGTGAGGAATATAGTAACGCTAGATCTTTGTTTTGTGCTTAATTTTTTATTATCTCCATAGATGACATGATACCATTATCACAGAGATTAACAGGAAATGCTGTGAATTATTCTGTTTCAACCCAGTCACTGTGTGTTTTCCAACATGAGGTTAGCTACGACAGTTGTTTCAGAATTCATGAAGATACAGTGGCATATTAGAAAGAAGTGCATGATCGGACATATAAGCGTACAAGTGTTTTTCACAGTCACGGTTTTTTTGTAAGAGCTGAGTGGAAACTCAGAAATCGTCTGGGTTCGGCACCCTCCCCTAGCAGTTGAGCTTACGGAGGCCCCAGAGGATGAAGCGACTTCGTGGTTGGTAGGAGAGGGCAGGAGTGTGTGTACTTTTACCGTGTTCCCTATTAAACTGCAGATGGGTAAACATCTCAGAATAAGAACCCCTTGGTGTTTTCTGGCCTCATGGCTTTATGAGCCTGGCACCTTGGCCGTGCCTTTCTTGGCTCCAGTAAAGGCCGCGATGACAGCATCCGCCCTGGTGTCCTGTGCTTGAGCATCTCTCCCCCTCGGAATTACCTCCGTGGCTCCACCTGCCCCTTGCTGGTCTTTACCGGCCTTCAGGTCCTCCCTCGCAGTTTGGCCTCTCCTTCCCTGCATGCCCTCTTTTTACTGCACAGCCCTCCAACTCACACGTCTCTTACCTGAAGCTCTGCTATTGTGCCTCTCGGCGTGAAATGTCTCTTTTCTGACCTCCGCTGTGTGCGTTCCACCCCAAGAGTGAGAGTAGCAGACGGCTGTGGGGTGGCATTTTTAGAAATCAGGCTGGGAGCGGCCTGGCTGGCATTCTCATACACATGGGTCACCTGCTTCGTCCCTGCAGGTGCTGGAGGCTGAGGTTTGCCCTAGATGGCTGGAGACTTCCTTTGGTGACCTCAGTGTCCAGGATGGTATTTAAATGGCAGTGATTCCAGCTAATTCCTCGAGCACACAGGCAAAACTGAATGCAGAGCTGGGTGGGCCTGATGCGTGGTATTCGGAGACCAAGCACGTTAACCACGTAAACCCTGGAGCCGTTACCCTCTCTCTTTGGCTTGTTAAACTTGATGTCACCTGGGTGGTGCTTTGCCCACCAAGAGGTGGCGTGGATCAGTGACGACCCATGGGGTGGAGCTTGGAGAGCAAACGGCGCGGGCCCCACAGCAGGGCAGACAGGGCGCACTGGGCAAGGACACAGGCTCGGAGACAAGCCGGGCTCATCGAGGGCCACAAGGGAGTACTTCCTCAATGTGATCCAGTGAGCCAGGAGTTGTACTTGGCGATCGCATCAGCCGTATTTTCGTTGGCACTACCTGGGCCAAAGGGAGCCAAGAGCAGGGAAAGGGAGCAAAGAAGGCTGGAGAGTAAGATGAGCTTTTCTGTGGACAAGGGTTAGAAAGCTTATTCTGAGATGCGGTATGGACCACCCAAGAGTTAGTATTTTGTGCATTTTTACTATATTGAGTGGGTAGGAGAACAGAGTATAAACCTGACTAAGGTATCTGCTCTATCCTTCTGGGAAATTTATTTAAAATTACCGCTCTTTAATATTTTAAACAAGGCAATGACCTTTTCACCTTGAGGGTTGGATGTCACTTTTAGGCTACTTCCAAATAACCCATTTCAGCAGAATGTAAATTCAGTTCTTTGAGGTCTCACTTAGGTGCTGGATAAGGCGTTTGGTATTGTCAGTGTAATTTAGCTTTTGGTTTTCTATTTTATTTGAAATTTTATAAGTTTGAAATCTTTCATTAAGAAAATTTAGACCCATTCAATATAGGAAAAAGCCATAGGAAAAATTACTGAGTGGATTCTGAATTGATTTCTCCTACAAGAGAATATAATCTTTGCGCCTTTATTTTAAAGGAGCAAGTTTTACAATGGGAACATGCTGATGAAGTGGGCTCTGACGTCAGGGGTGCCGGGTTCCAGTGCTGGCCTGGCCCTCTCCTGACTGTGTGACATGGGACATGTTTCTTAGCTTGTCTACTTCTCAGGTTCTTCAACTCTAAGGAGGAATAATAATGGTACTTTTCCATAGAGTTGTTGGCCAAATTAAACCGTGTAGTACTTAGAAAATACTTATCAGGTGCCTGACACATAGCAAATTCTCACTAAATATGCACTTCTATTACTCCTAATTATAAATGCTAACGTAAAATCTCAACGGTACCTGTGGGAGCGTCACAAAGGTATTCTAGTATTAGAAGAGTGAAAATAAAAGATCAGACAGGAAATTTTCAAAGAGAAAAGTGTCAGGGTTGCCTCTTCAGAATATGTTTTATAAAGTAACAGTAAATGGCAATGCTGCAACTATAACAAACGAAAGCTTGGTGCACCGAATAGAAAGTTCAGAATTGACTAAACTATGGAAGGTTTGAGATGAATGAGTGTCAAAAAAAGACACCTGAGACTGGGGCCAATGTTTCATTGTTTTCATTGGTAAAACAAAAGATTTCCTTGAAAAATAAGTAAAGTTAAAATGAACAGTAAGGTTATTGTAGCATGCATTTGCCACATTTAATG